GAGAAGGACATCACTAAAGGTGGACTGATTCAAGGAAGCCACAGTCCTGAGTTTACAAGACCTCATCAAGACAGTTGATGACATTCATAGGGCTACAATGGGTGCATCTACATTGTAGAAATAATACCGTTTGACACAACTTTAAGTAGCTGTAGCTGCATCCTATGGAATCCTGGGATTTGTAGTTTTACAAGATCTTTAGCCTTATTTACCAAAGAGGGTTGATGCCTCGCTAGACTACAAACCCTAAGATTCTGTAGGATGGAACCACGGCAGTTTAAAGTGGTGTCAAATTGCATTATTTTGATAGTGTAGATGCACCGATAAGTCAAAAGATGCTGCCACAATGTGTTACATTTGCCTGTGTTACATTTGCCATGCCAACGACAGGTCTTCATACTCTGAAATTTCTCCGATTTGGAAGGGACACTCCTGATTAATCCTCTGTCATCCCACTTTTCCAGCTGCTTTAAAAATATCCCAGCTTCATGGCCAGAAATGGGGGGAAAAGAGTTACTATGGGTTTAATTTTGGACTGAAATGCAGATTGAATATGATATAAAAGGTATAAAAGGAAATTGAAATGCAGACTCAGCTTGGAAGAGAAAGAAGCAGAAAATGTATATATTGGTGATCATGATTGTTTAGAAAAGAAAGGATAGGGACCATGATATTTTCACTACAGGACAGCCACTTAAAAGAATGAGCTCAGACAAGTAAAACTTATTAAAAGCTGCAAACAAGGAAGTAACGGATGGGATATGGATGATCTGTGTAATGTAATGTTTGTGTAAGTGGTATAGTGAATATGTATATGATTTGTATGTGTTACAGATGTGGTGTGATTTCTTTTTCATGTTGTTTCTAAATAACAATATCAATAAAAATTATTATTCAAAAAATAAAATAATAATTGCCCATTTTCTCTCTCCTCTTCCCACCTTCCCCCTTTGTCCTTGGCTTGTATTGCTTACTGCAAAGTGAGTTAGAAGTGTAAAAGCCGTTTGCATGGAGAAGGAGAGAGTGGGATCTTAGGGGCTTATCGCATTGCAAAATAAATCTACTTACTCCTGCTGAATGACAGTTGATTTTGGGATGCACTTGGGAATTATCACATTAAAAATGCTGCCGAATCTGCTGGGCGACTGCATCCCAGCTAAATCCCGGCTCCCAGCAGCACTCAGACAGCCAATTTTCAATAATGGGAGCTTTCCGTTTTTGAAAATCAGCTGGCTGAGCACTGCTGGGAGCTGGGATTTAGCCAGGATGCAGTCACCTGGCGGTGGCATTTTGGTGGCATTTTTAATGTGATCATTCCCAAGTGCATCTTGAAATGACCGTAATTCGGCAGGGGTAAGTAGCCCTTTTGCAATTTTGCAATTGCAATGCAATACATTGCGATGCAATATGCCCCTTATCCTTCTCCCCAGTAGGCTCGGGCAAAAGCAAACTGCTGCATCCTTTCTTAGCTTGCATGCCCTTCCTCATTAATAACTTTTGCCCTCTTGACCACACTCTGATGTCGGCTGGCCACACTTGTCCTAGTTTGCATCTGTGAAATGTTGGAGCCTATGGGTGTTTGAGCGGAGAGGAGTGGAGAACTGAGAGATCTGGAAATGCAAAGGAGGGAGGCAGACTATATGCACAGATGTTTCTGGCTGTTGCAGGAGCCCTTGTCTGGGGTTCCACGTGCTTTCACTGGTCTGAAGAATTTCCTGTTGGGGAAAAGAAAGAGGAGGAGGAGGACTGTAGGCTGGAAGCAGAAATGGAGCTGCTTTCCCTTGGGTAGCAGCGGCAGCCGCAGAAGAACCTGGCCGAAAGGTTACCAGCAGCTGCATCTCTCTTCCTTTCTCCCCACCCTCAATTCTCTTCATTTTTATATGCAGCTGGAGGTCCAGCTGGACATGAGAGCAAATTTCGCAAAGGAAAACCCAAGCAGTTGTGAAATACAAAATTGCAGCGTTGGAAAGATATGCGAAATGGTGAGAAGAACAAACTGGACTTGCCACTTCATTTCCATACCCAAAGGATTCTGAATTTGAATTGATATTCTCACACAACAAGGGCATATGTAGGTCTGTCCCTGGCTTTCCCCTCCACCAAATGCATCTGAGAAAGTAGACTCAAGTCTAGGAAAGCTCATGCTGCCAACTTCTTTCTTTCAGTTAGTCTCAAAGGGGGTTCAAGATCTTTCTACATACTGGTTCTACAAACACGGCTATACTTTTTAATTCTGAGGTGAGAAGAAAGAGTGTGAACTCAGAATCAAGAGTCTGTTTGGAGTGAGATACTTTTTGTGAGGTAGTTAGAAAACTCCTTCGGATCCCAGGATTCTCTAGGATAGAGCCATGACAGTTAAAACGCTCTCAGATCGCATTAGTTCTTCAATGTGGCAGCAGCCTTAGGGAGATGAGATAAAGAACACTTCATTTAGCCTGTTTGCTTCTAGCCAGATGGAGGATGCAGAACAGAGCAGAGGGTGAGTCCTGGCACAAGGACGATTGGGAGGGAAGGAAGAAGCAAACTAGTAGAGTCCCTTCCTGGAGAGTTTTTGCAAGCGGCATCAACAAATCAGTTAAACCAATGGAAAAACGTAGCAAGCTGCTGTTTTTGTAGCTGAGCTGGAGATTTGCACCAAGCCCTTTCTTGCAAAACTAGAGAATTTGCATTCTCATCTCCCGCCTGGAAATGACCCCTGAAAACTGAAGTCTCAGGGCCTGAGATACGGCAACCCTAGGGCCAAAAGATTGTAAAAAAGGAGGCCAGCTTTAATATACATATTTTTTAATGCAAAGCTAAAATATACATAAGATAAACACAATCTGCTCTCGCTCTCTCCTGCCCCACTTACAAAGATCTCTCATCATAAGAACATAATTGGGAATGGGAGTGGGGTTGGGGAGGTGGGTCAGGAGGAGGTGGAAATGAGATTCTTACCGATATAAAGAACATGGTGAAGAAATAGACCATGGCTTCCATGTGGAATTGCCTCTTGGCTGCAATGCTGATTGTCGGGAGGAAAGCCAGGCTGCTGACTGTTGGCAGGAGCAACTTGGCAACCAGAGAGCCCATTGGAAGGAGGACGATGCTTTTGCTGGGGAAGAGACAGCTGAGAAGGAGAAGGAGAAGAAGGAGAAGGAGCAGAGGTCTGATCAAATCTCAGAGAGAGCTGAAGAACACTGAGTTGCAGTGGGTCTCCCAGTTTCTCTGGTTCCTGTGTGCTACAAAGAAGACAGCTGGTTGGGGGTGAGGTTTAGGGGTGCGTACGTATTAAAGTTTAAATGCCCAAATGCTTAGCTCTTGTGTAGCCATCATCATGACAGGTGTCGGTGGAAGGCCACAAGTGTGGCGGTGCACAGCTGACGGCTGGCATGTCAGATGCAAACACACACCGGCAGGCTGTCCTTGTGGTCTTTCTTGGCAAGCCATCTCAAAGACCAACAGGACAAATGGCTCATTCAGAAATCTCTCCCAAACCTGCCCATTTGGAGCTTGGTGGGTTTGTAAATAGAAATCCATGTGCGAGAGTGAGAGGGAATTTGAACTCAGCCACTAGTTCCCGAATGCATGAGTGTGGATTTCTTTTCTTGCACTGATGATGATGATGATGATGATGATGATGATGGTGAAAGTAACGATGTGGCCAAGAGGTGATATGATAGCCCTGTTTAGATATCTGAAGGGATGTCATATCGAGGATGGAGCAAGCTTGTTTTCTGCTGCTCTAGAGACTAGGATATGTCAAACGACAGGAAAAGCGATTCCACCTGAACATTAGGAAGAACTTCCTGATCGTAAGAGTTGTTCAACAGTGGAAAAAGCTGCCTCAGAGAGTGGTGGAGTCCTTTTCTTTGGAGGTTTCTAAACAGAGGTTGGATGGCCCTCTGCCAGGGGTGCTTTGTGTATTCCTGCGTGACAGAATGGGGTTGGACTGGATGGCCCTTGGGGTCTCTTCCAACTCAATGAACCTCTATGGGCACCTCAATGAACTTAATAGAATCAATGATTCTATGATTCAACAGCATCTCATGGACAACCTTTCCTAGTAAAACGCTCATGTTCAGGACAGGTATGTATGGGTATAATGGGGATTGGAGATAAGAGGCTTCGAAGAGAGATGGATTAGGCATACCCTCCAATATTTTGCAGATGACAACTGGGACATGTGTGGCCAAACAACATGAGTGTGGCCAGGATTACAATAGTTATTGATGAGGAAGAGTGGACAAGCGAAGACAGGCTGTGGCAGTTGGCTTTTGCCTGAACCTGCTGGGAAGGGCAAGATTCTGCCCACTCCTCTCCTGTCCTCCCGGCTGAATTAGAGCTTGGTTTCTAGACCTTTTACCATCTTGTGTGCCCTATTGCCATTCCAAGCCCTTAATGCGAATAATACCACCTCACCCCTTCAAGAACAACAGCAGACTGTTGAGCGTAACTGTTTCTTATTATGGACCTCACTGGTTGACTGTGAGAAAATGCCACCCTCAAACAGTTTGCTGGCTGAAGTGGACCATCCTCAAGACAGGTTGTTGTTGTTGTTGTGTGCCTTCAAGTCATTTCCAACCCACTGTTGTTTCTTAGCAAGATTTGTTCAGAGGGGAATGTCCTTTGCCTTCCTCTGAGATTGAGAGAGCATGACTTGTCCAAAGTGATCCAGTGGGTCTCTATGGCTGAGTAAGGATTTGAACCTAGATCTCTAGAGTCTTCCAACATCCAAGGTACCACACCATACTATCTCTCCTTTGCTTGCCTCTTGGCTGCAATGGAGACCATCCATACATCTCAGGTTTTGGCCTAGGAACCTCAGAGATGATCCTTAACTGGCAAGCCTATCCCTACCTCTGATGTCCTCATCTTTAGCGTTGCTGTTGTTCTTGTTTGCCTTCAAGTTGTCTCCAACTTATGATGGCCCTAAGGAGAACTTATCATGGGGTTTTCTTGGCAAGATTTGTTCAGAGGAGGTTTGCCCTGACTTGCCCAAGATCACCCAGTGGGTTTCATGGCCGAGCTGGGATTCAAACCCTGGTCTGAAGAGTTGTAGTCCAACACTCAAACCACTATGCAACACCGGCTCAGTCTTTAGTTACTCCCTACAGTCCTGGTGCTGAGCTCAGTGCTTTTTCCATGCAAATGTCAGCCCCGATTTCCCCCTTAAATTTATTTAATTTTTATTTCCAAAGCCTAATAAAGATGTGGCAGTGGAGAGTGTCTTTTTGTTTCTGTTGTTCAATGACTGGAAATTTTTCTCCACCAGCCACAAATGACATCAGAAAGGATTTAGTTTAGGTTTTGCTGTGTCTTTTCTGACCAGTCTGTTTCAGCTCAGCACTCTATGTACAGAGGTGCTGAAACACACAAACACACACTCACAACACACAAAACACACACAGCCCATTGCACTGTTGTGGATGGCAAGTCCCCTGGCCAACTATTTCTCTCGGTTTTTATTATGGTTCTTCAAGAAAGAAAGGAAAACAACTTTATTACAAGCCTCCTGCTTTTCTCCTTCCTTGGGACTAATATCTTTTCCTTGGAACCGTGCTCAGATTCTTAGCATCCTTTTCAAGACAGCTGTTCGGATGAAGAAGGAAGAAGGAATGTGAGGCAGGCAGGAGGACGAGAAACTTGCCCTGTGGTTTTGGGCTCCGACTGAGTCGCAGCGATATGAGCTACTGTCTGCGTCTGTCTAGCCTTTTGGAGAGTCTTCTCCTCTCTAGAGTCTTGGTTTTTTTTCTGCATTTGGGGTCCAGAGGCCCTATAACTGCACCACTGGTTGTTGCTGTATGCCTTCAAGTTTTATCCGACTTATGGAGATCCTAAGACGAACTTATCACGGGGTTTTCTTGGCAAGATTTGTTCAGAGGAGGTTGGCCATTGCCTTCCCCTGAGGCTGAGAGCATGTAACTTACCCAACATCACCCAGTGGGTTTCATGGCTGAGCTGGGAATTAAACCCTGCTCTCCAGAATCGTAGTCCAACACTCAAACCACTATGCCACACTGCACCACGCTACCCAATATTTCACAGACGTGTGGCCAAGCGACATCTGAGTGTGGTCAAAAGTTATGAACGAGGAACCATGCACAAGCTAGGAGAGGCTGCAGCCGTTTTCTTTTGCCCAGGTCTACAAGATTCTGGCCCCTCTTCTCCTCTGAGTTAATGGAGTGGGAAACTGGAGACTTCAGTTTTCTATGTATTGGAGCTCAAGTGTATGGGACACACACTAGCAGAAACAATTGGAAAGTTGGGCAGGCAAATCTCCCATTGACTGATGCCTTCAGATTAAACTGTCTGACATAAAATAATTCTCCAAAGTGATACTATATATAGAATCATAGATTCATAGAGCTGGAAGAGACCCCAAGGGCCATCCAGTCCAACTCCCTGCCATGCAGGAACTCACAATCAAAGAGATGGCCATCCAGCCTCTGTTTAAAGACCTCCAAAGAAGGAGACTCCACCGTTCTCTGAGGGAGTGTGTCCCACTGTCAAACAGCTCTTACTGTCTAAAAGTTGAGATGGAATCTCTTTTCCTGCAGCTTGCATCCATTGTTCTGGATCCTATTCTCTGGAGCAGCAGAAAACAAGCTTGCTCCATCCTCAATATGATATCCCTTTAAATACTTAAACAGGGCTATCATGTCACCTCTTAACCGTCTTTTCTCTAGCCTAAATATCCCCAGTTCCCTAAGTCGTTCCTCATAGGGCATGGATTTCAGACTTTTCACCATTTTAGTTGCCCTCCTCTGGACAGGCTCCAGCTTCTCAACATCCCTTTTGAATTGTGGTGCCCAGAACTGGACACAGTATTCCAGGGAAGGGCAGACAAAATCAGAATAGAACAGAATATCTCATGCTATAATTCTCAAAAGCTTGGAGCCATTCCATAGGGCTAGGGGGAATAAGAAGGAAAAAGCAGGAGCATGTGTGATGGGGAAAAAGTCACAGCTGTGGACCTGGACCAGAGTCTTGGGATGCAGCCAGTGGTGAGACATGAAGGAAAGGAGTGGAAACACACACAGATACACATGGCTGTACCAGGTTTGAGCACATGTTTGAGCAATTACAGAAAATGGGTCACTTAAAAAGTTACTAGCCCTGGGGAAGACAGGTGGCTGGGAACAAGGGCTGGGACTGAGAGCCTTTTGGCTGGACGCATCTTTTTAGAAGAAGAGACAGGGTATGGCATCCGGACTGCCCCATCTCTTGTCACTCTTTCCAAGGATTCCCATTTCCCAGCAAGGATTTTGTCATGATTTGAATTGGAGGCAGCCAGAATACTGTGTTTGATAGTGATGATGGTAGCTTGCTCCATAGGATAACCTGGATTGCTAGATTCTTGGATAGGAACCAAATCCCAGATAGTTCAAAATTCCATCAGTAACATCTGGTTGACTGTGAAATATTTGCAATAATAATAATAATATTAACAACAACAACTGGCATTCTACTTGGGATTTATGCCTTTATAAATGGCCTTGCTGTTATGTGCCTTCAGGTCATTTCCAATGTGTAGCAACCCTAAGGCAATTTATGGGGTTTCATTTCATTTCAGTGCTGCCTTTCTCCCTGAAAGGGACCCAAATAAAGGGTTCACAAATAAAGCTACTGAAAAACTTCACAGTAAAAATTTAAAAGACAATTAAAATCAACTAGCTAAAAAACAGTATGACAGCAAGCATGGCATAGTGGTTTGAGTGTTGGGCTATGACTCTGGACATCAGGGTTTGAATCCTGGCTTGGCTATGGGTAACCCTGGGCAAGTGACACTCTCTCAGCCTCAGGAGAAGGCAAAAATGTATAAACATACAAAAGTTAAAAACAAAACTGAAATACCCCTCCATATAAAAGCCAAGATTTTCTTAGCAAGATTTGTTCGGAGGGGATTTTTCTTTGCCTTCCTTGAAGGCTGAGAGAGCATGACTTGCCTAAGGTCACCCAAAAGGGTTTAAGTGGCCAAGCAGGGATTTGAACCCTGTGCTCCAGTTGTAGTCTAGTGCTCAAACCACTTTGCCATGCTGGGGTCAGAAGTGTTCAACTCACATCAGAAGAGCCTGATGTGCATTATGTCTGTGCAATTCAGAGTTTTAACAGGGGTTTTGTTGCGTTTATACAATATATTTACCTATTTACAATGTTCCAAAATACAGGCTGTGATGCAGGAGACCAGCTGTTAAGGATAATGGTAATTTGTACAGGTAAAATTAAGAATATCAATTTCTACCATCTTCAGGTCAAGAACCTCAGGCAGCTGAGCCCAAGACTTTAGAAAGCTGCCAGCGGATATGGAGATGCCTGTAACTAGATGCTCCAGAGGATTTATTTTAACATGAAAAACAGATTTTGGTGATGGTTGTTTTGCATGGAGATTTGGCGGGAGAGAGGTTGTACTTAATGGAGCTTGATTCATATTGAAAACTACCTCCTGTGGCAATACGGAAATGGCCACGTTGGGGAAGGCGCTGCTCTGTAAAGTGGGGTTTTGGGGGGCTGATGTACCTACAGAGATGCAGCTATTGTTATACAAGATCTTGGCCAAAGACGGTAAAGGGATCTTCCTCCTTGCCCCTGATTTTATAACAAATATTACAAAATACAAAAGGCCTTTGGACATTATCACACGGGGCCCAATGCAAACAAAATCCAAACGAAATC